GGTGGGGGTGGGGGTGGTGGGGTGGAGAGGAGACAGACCTTATTTTGTCTCGGTTTGAATACACAGAAAACCAGTTACCTGTATGTTTGCTGAATGGCTGAGAAGGCAACAAACACGGAGATGAACAAAATCTGCACATACTACTGTACACGTATCTTTCCTCATATGGTGCTATCACTCATATTTGAGGACACACAAGAATAACCATCATCCTGTGTTTTGCCTTCCTGCCACCACCTATATTTAGCAGCAAACATAGGAGAAACAGTTCTCACTAATACTCCCAAAACTAAAATGGGAAAAAGGCCAAACTAGCCCTTGGGTTGTACAATCCTTTATACAAGAGGAAGCTAATAAAACTGTGAAACAAACAAACAAAAAATAAAAACGGAAACATTTAGACATATTTTCCAATTTTCTAACAGTACCTTGCCTTCAATCAGATTCCTTGCATTTCCTTCTGTAGCCCTCCCCAATTCCCAGCACACAAACCCAAATCAGCATCCTGATAAGGTAGAGCAAAGGAGAAAAGTCTTCCCTTCCACCTGATCAAAGCATGTCTTCTAACCCTTCTCTCCTTGGTCAAGTCAAACAAAACAAAGCAGAAAACGGACTAACAAGGTACCTGTGAATGAGTCCTTCGAATTCCTCCCAGTCAAATCTCACTTCGAGCCCCTCAGACCCCGGTACCTTCTTTCTCCACCCAGTACTGTTCTGTGTTCCCCACAGTATGGATTCTGATTCTCAGTATTGATTCCCTCATCCCCAGACTGACTTTCTGTGACCCAGCAGCACTGAGCTCCACAGAACTAATCTCAAATAAACACCTTCTAACTCTGAGTCTAAAACATCCACAAACTCTCTGCAGCACTACATTAGTTAACCGGCATTGTTGACATTAGGATAGGAAACCAAGAAACTTACTTCCTATTTTCCTCTGAATGTTTTAAAAACAACCCCATGCTGCCTGAGGAACTGATTTTACCCCTGTGCGGTCCCCTTATTCCCTTCTTTCTTAGTCACCAGAACTCCACTCCCAGGAGGTACACACTGAGCAGTCCTGGCAGAGGGGAGGCCTCCAGAAGTGAAGATGAGGAGTTGACACCAAGTATCAGCCTTGCTGGGTGGTCCGTTCCAACATGGGCTACAATGCCTGGTGGCTGGCTTTACAGTTTAGAATGGTGGAAATCAGAACAGAGTGAGATTTTAAAGATCATGGAATCCAACTCCGTCACTTCACAGATGTAGTCGGTAAGGCAGTAGAGCGGAAAGGACTGCCTGAGCTCATTCTACGAATTCGGCTCAGGATCAGAAGCCCGTCTTCTGTCTCTCAGTGCAGTGCTCTTCACACTGGAGCACTTTTCAAAGTCATCTTGTAACTTCAGAATTAAGAGACTAGTGGGCCAGTGACTGAGCTGTCTGAATCCACTTGGAAGTGATATAATCTTAACATTTCTTAGTCCAAGGTTTGGAAGATATTTCATTTACCATAACCGTATTCCAATTCCTAGCTGGCAGGGCCACCTCTCTGGCTCCTAATGAACGTTTCCCTGGTCATATCTTTCCAGAACCTCTATATTCAGAGAACCATGCTCCTTTGGAATCCTTTCAGTTTTGGAATTAAGCATAGAAGTACAGAAGTCTCCATACTAGAGCAAGGGAAGGGAAGATAGGCACAGGGGAATGTGGTGGTGTAAAGCTAAGAACTACATGTCAAATGAGAAGGAGAAAGAGTTGTGTGGCAACGAGGGACATGAGGACACAAGTGGGGAAAGATGACAGGAAGGGAGATGGTGTGAGGATGAGCGTATCTGAGGGTCGTGGAGATGAGGCACCTGAATTCTCACCTTGACTGGCCAGCAGGTCAGGGCTGCTCCAGACTGTGGAGCTGATGGCCTCGTCCAGTGGAGCCAGAGTTCCCAGCTCCAAATCCTGCTCCTGCCAGTAGCCTGGGGAGAGAATCTCCATCAAGGATGAGCCCTGCATGTACTGCTACAGTCTGGGTCTATGCTTTCATTGCAGGGGTGTGGGGAGAACCAGGCCCCTCCTGAAAGTAGGCTAACCCTGACAGAAAGGGGCGACATTTCTGAAAAAGGAAGTGATTTCTCCTCTGAAGGGGAAAGTTAAAGAAGAAGCTAAGTTCTATCAGTCAATCACATAGTATTAAAGCCAAAGAGATCTTTAAAAAACTCTTCTAGTCCAGTTTTCCCATTTCACAGATTAAGATAGTGAATCCCAGAAGACTAAAAGTGACTTCGTGGAGATCACCACAGAAAAATCAAAGCTAACTGTAGATTTTTTCATTCCTTATCCAGGATTTAAAAAATACTACAGTATCTACTAAAATTACTTTATGTTTAATAATAAGAATATACTTTCACCTTAAATCCTTTTACTAAACCTGAAAAATACATATACGGGTATTATCTCTATCCCACAGGACTGAAGGAGAATGGAAAGATGCCTAAGGTCCCACAAATAGAGCAAAGACTCGAAATTAAATGACTGATTCCAATCCCATGCTCTGTTTATTCCCTGGTGAGACCCTCAGTGGAGAAAGACATCAAGGTGAGGGTTGGAAGTCACACCACTCCTTCTCAGGCTGTTACTCCTGTGGGATTCTCAGACTCTCTTCATGTTTTCTCACTAGGCCCTCAGCCCCTTGCCTCACCAACTCTGTTCCTTGGTTTGGCACAACAAAACCCCCTTTTTCTTCACCCTGGCCTGTACAGGTCACCTCTCTTCCCAGTAGCTAGAGCCTAAACCTTTTTATTAGGTACAAAAGTGACAGGCGACAATTCTCCCAACTCCTCCAGAAAAGGTAGAGGGACAAAGAAACCGGAAGCGAGAATCTTTTCAGGATCTCGCGCCAGAGAGCCCCGAAGTAGCCAATCACTTGCACAAAATTCAGTGAGGTCATCGGCTACGGAGCAGAGACCAGAGGAGGTCCCGGAAAACTTCGCCACGTCCGGGACCCAAGAGAGCTGTAGGACGCGGGCTGAGGGTCCCTCGGGAAGAAAGGGGAGCAGCACTGGACGAGAACTGCTGAGTGAGGGGAAAGGGGGGAGGAAAGAGAGAGAGAGAGAGAGAGAGAGACCGCGGAGAGAGAAATGGGGAGGGGGAGGGGAGGAAGGGTTGCGGGAGTCCTAGTGTGGCTTCACAGGGCCTCTGTGGGCGCAGGCCCCCTTTCCTCACATGGACCTCACCCCGGAGATGTGAGAAATTGGTCTGGTCTGCCCAACTAGGGAAGGAGAGTAAAGAAGAGAAAACAGAGACACTGTTAACAGGTACAGAGAAGCAGGCAGGGGACAGGGACAAGGGATGCTTTGATGAAGAGAGGAAGGGCAGCTGGGGACTGACTGAGAGGAGAGGTCTGGGGCCCTGGCTGCCACATCCTGCTCTCCAAGATGCTGCTTTCTCTGGGCATCAGGGCTGGAGGCAACGTTGGTGAGTGTTTCCTACTATTTTCTGCATTGTGTATTTGTGGGTGCGTTGTGTCAATTGTGCTGAGGTGCAGGGTGGTGGAGGGACACAAAGAATCCAGCAGGGGGGGTTAATGTTCAGTCCACTGTATTGGTACCCAGAGCACAAAGTGCTAAACAGGCCTTTGCTCAAACGAGCAGAAGAAATAGCCATCTTGTTCCTGGGCATAGGACTCCGAGCTTGCAGAGTGGGTTTTCAGCCATGAACTCATTTAATGTCAGAACAACTCTAGAGATTGGCACCAGATGTGATCAGCTTTTAAGATGAGGTTCGTAGAGGCTCCGTGACTTACCTAAAGGAACAGTTCTCAAGAATCCTCTCTCTTGTGGTGCTTTCAAAGCTTTTCAACAACTCCTGCTTCTTAAGCATTTCAGCACATTGCATTGTGATTTCCTTGTTACCAGTCTCCTCATCTAAACTTTGAGCTAGTTGAGGGCAGAACCTTACCTTTGTAGTTTTAGCACTTAGCCCAGAGCGGGCTCTCAGGACATTTGGTTGGCACTGACACTTCATTCGGCCACATCTGGCACTGTGCTATGTATACCTTAATCAGGCAGAGCATGTATTCTTCCCAACAGTGTGGGTTTAGTCTTCTCTCTCCTGCTTATTCTTTCATCCGTGCTTTTTTCCTGCATCCTCCTTAGTTGCTCTTCTCCTTGTGCATATTTCTTTCATCTCTCCCCTCCTCCCGCATTTGCTGCCACGATGAATAAATGAAATGATGATGTATGTCATTCAAACTAAACTGAACTGTTGGGACGCGGAGACTAGTAACAAATAACTTCCACTGAACGGCATATTTGGAATATGCAGTGATATATCACCTCTGCTGGTTTGCAGAAACTCACTCTAGCTTGTAGTATTTCCAAAACTGTTGAGAGATAGGTGGGATTCTTTCCCCTTCTGGGGTGACATTTCTCCCTCTCATCCTGAAATGTACTTACAACCTCAGGTCCCCTCTTGAGAACATTCTGTTAACATGCCAGAAAGTTTCCTGGATGATGTTACAAAATTGTAGACCTATAGTCATAAATTCTCAATGGCCACTCTCCAGGGAGCAGACAAGGGATTATAATGCTATCAACAGAAACATGGATAAAGTAGCAGAAATTATAAGCTGGTTATGGCAGGCTTGCACCTTCTTTGAATTCAGATTATGCCAATCCTGTTTGACGTCATCATGATTTCCGGCAAAGAATTCAGACTAGTAAAGGACTATGGACTTTGAAGTGGAATTAGTAGGAATTCTGCTCAAGGCCCTTGGAAAGATCAGCTGTCAAATAAGCAAGGCAGTGAGACCCTAGAACCATTAGTGAGAGAAAGCCCTGGCTGCTCAGGTAGAACAATGGATAAAGAGAATTTCAATCTTGGATCGGCTTAACCCATCACAGACTTCATTGTCAGCAAGTCATATCCAGATGTGTTACCTTGGCCCTGGTCCTACACAATCTGATGCCAACCTAACTCTCAACTTCATCTTTCCTGGACACAGATGCTATTAAGAATTCTCTTTAAACCCTTTGCTTTCCTGCTTCCATTCTCTTTGCTGTAATAACTGGGCTAGTAAATTCTCCTCACCAGTCTTCACTTTTCTAAACTGTCTCTATTCTTAAAGCCTACTTTTGTTAGCACCTCTTTCAAGAAGTCTTCCCTGATAGTTTCAGGTGAACATACTTTCCCATTTCTCAGAGTTACAGCACTATCTGCTTTTCTTAAATGATACATCACTTTCTACTTTGTGCTGCAAGTTTGGCTTCCCTCCTAAATTAAAAAAAAAAAAAATCCTGTAAGTAGGGTTGATGCTCGATGTGATTCATTTTTGTATCAAACTCTGGCCCTGATACAGCACATTGCACATAGAAAGTGCTTCATAAATATTTATTTATTAAGTGAATCAGGTGTGGAGTATCTTCTGTTGATGGAGCTAGGCTCAAAATTTGCTACTCTATAAAAGATAGCAGACCCAACAGGACAGGAAGAAATAGGCCAAGAGGAGGGTAGACCACCTAAAGAGGCAGAAATGCTGGAAATCTGTAAGACTGAGTGGCTTGATATATACATCAGCACTTTCTGCATGTTAAGGTGTAAATGAGGAACTCCATATGCATTACTCCAGACGAACTTTTAATAGGCATTATGTGCATTCTAAAAAGTTCATTTAAGGAATTTATCCATAAGATGTACACAATGTTAGGAGAGGTCAGGCTTCCAACTTAAGGCTTTCTGCCCCTTTTCACTATTCTGCCTCCTTCCCCAGAAGCATGCATTTCAGCATAGTGGTGGCCTAGGATAGAGAGGAAGGAACTCTTCTTGCATTGCTGGCTGGGGATGGCTCATCTAAACAGTCATTACAATTGGTACCTGCAGTATGATAAAAATAACAGAGCAAGTTGGAAATGAGTGCTTGTGGTAATGGTAGTGGTATGATTTGTACCCACCGAGTTATACTGTTAATTGGAATTTTAATAGGACTTCAATCTATACTTTTGGGCTTATTTTGTGTAGCCCTAAGTGCCTGACAGCGGGGACTCTTTAGTTACACAACAAGACAAGTCTAGTTAAAACTAACAAAATTCCGTCATGTTTTCATTGCATTTTTTCTAGCACCTAAGCTAGAAACAAAAAATATCTTCTTGTTTGCTCTCAATTGCTTTGGGGGTTTCTTAATTATTGTTTTATTTACTCATGGGTTCTCATATCTTTAGGATTCTCAGCATTTTAAAGGACAAAGTAGCCCTTTCACCCACTGATTTCCTTCTGATTGACTGTTCATATTAAGAGTAGCAGAGATGGGAATTAGAGACTTACTAATGTGCCTCTTGAAAGCATGCATTGGCACCTATGATCAGTTTTTCTCTCCAAGCACAGGACCTCACACATAGTAAGTGCTCAATAAATATTTGTTGAATAAATAAATGAGTGACTCAAATGAATAAAAATGTATTATGCCTGCAATGTAAGTGACTCTAGTAGGTAAGCTCATAATTCTTGATTGCTTGGTTCATGTATCTTTCCTGCCCCGCCTCTTCTGGGGATCTACAATGCATTGTCCGTAGGGCTGCAAACAGGGTCACTGGTGCACGTGTGGGATGGCCGGACAAGGGGGCAGATTTCTCCTGCATAACTTCTGCTGGCCTTCCCAGTGCTGGGGTCCAGAGCTCCACTTCCCTGATGAGGAGAAAACCAGCTCTCTGAGTAGGTGTTGATGGTGATAGTGATGGTGATGGTGATGGTGACGATGACTCAGCATTTCTCTAACTCCAGCGTTAAAAATACTGTGCATCCCAGCCCACTTGTTATTCCTCACGACTGCCATGACAGGTGGGCGGAGGAGTGTTATCTCCAAGGGAAAAACATTGGGGGTTGTGGCCCAGAATAATGGAGGGACCCACTTTTAGAATGGTATATCCACCGTTAAGAAGCTCATTGCTGGGTTCCCTGACCATCACTGTACTTCCTCCCTGAG